TGTTCTAAATACATATCCTGTGAATTTTAAATGTATTTTTTGATTTAGAGAATTTAAGTATTGGGATATTGAAATAGTACTTTCACTCCCACATTTTGTGTTGAGATAATATTACATAAAATTACTTTAAAGAAAATGGCCTCTGAGGAGCTGTTGCTTTATTCATAAAATCCGACTTTAGATAAGATTATTTTATCTTTCTCTCTTAGTTTCGGGTTAAAAAAAACTACTAGTTGCGGTTAAGTTAATCATTTACAGATAATATCTAGGTGTACCGGATTTTTTAAATTAGATACTGTAGAAGTACTTTTTTCCGCGTGGTATTAATTTACGCTATGTACGCGGCCACAAATTTTCCGCGGAAATTTGTCCAAGCGTAGTTAATATAAATGTAAGGCATAGAGTGACAATCTAGAAAATCCGCGTAATTTCCTACCCGCGAATTAATCAGAAATTGAGATTCCGCGGAATTATAACCCCGTGGAAAAAAGTACGTCTACAGTATTTGAATGCAAGAATTCATTCTCATAGGCAATCCTAATGTTGTTTTATTATTGTTTAAAAAATATCCCGTTACAAATCCATTTATTCAAGGAAAGCTTTTTAAAAGAAGTATTTAGATTAAATTATAACTCGGACATATTGATTATCAACTTATCAATGTATGTAAGATCAATTAAGGTGATGTTTCTCTTAGGATTAATTATCATGATTTATCATTATTACTATTTGAAAAAGTAAAACCTGAAAGGCACATTTCTTTTCATAATTTACAAATTCTACATTCATTTTAATCATTTTACCACAGCTTAGATTTCGAAAAAATTATAAACAAATAGGTATTATATATTTGTAAACGTCATACTACCGGCTTTGAAGTCTTTTATTTCAAGGTAAACTGGAAATTAAGTTGTTACCTGTTTATGAATATTTTATCAATGCTATGACAACATGCTCTACAATGGATGAAAAACACACGTCAGCCATTAAACATGAAAAGGAAATGAAAACTGTTACATTAGAGTTAATTATCCAATTTATATATATATATATATATATATATATATATATATATATATATATATATATATATATACATACATAAAGCAGACCTTATCTAAGATCTGCTGCATAAAAAGAATTGTTGTGTCATTTGAATGATAATTTATTATTCATCGTTAACGCCTTTAATATTTAACAGTTAATTTACACTCATTAGGACCATTGTTTTGCTTCAACATTTAAGTATCTCATAGACCTCCGTTGGTCTTTTTGCGTGAATACATAGAGACAATCCATTTTTTTTTATACTTATCTTTCTGTCTTCAAATATGATTGCAGGTTACGAAAGAAATAGTTTCGGGTAAAGAAAAAAAAAGCTTCTCATTTTTCTTCATGTTTCCTTTGACTCGAGAGTTGCGATTAAGTTAATATTTTTTTTACAGATAACATCTAGGTGTACTGGATTTTTTAAAAATTAAGTACATGTAAATATTTGAGTGCAAGAATTTATTCTCATAGACAATGATATTGTTGTTAAATTATTGTTTTAAAAAATATACTGTTAGAAATCTATTTCTTCAAACAAAACTTTTCTTAAAGAAGAAGGATATGGAGATAACGAAAAGAATTTAATCTCAAAGTCCATAAAACAATACAAAACTAGTGCTAATTGTAACAGTGACCGTTACAGATGTTCTCCAAACGCTCCCCAACTCCCTTTTGGTGCCATATTTCCTGTAGGCCTTAATAGATAAGACAAACTCTATGTATTTGAGACTTTAACAATGTTTACCTAGAGGTTTACCGAGTTCATTCTAATCTTAGCATTGCACGCGTGCACATGTGAATGCATGTTCGCAATGACCATATCATCTTGTCTACACAATCTATATACGAGCATTGTGTACGTTTGAGAGAGAGAGAGAGAGAGGAAAAGATTTGGTAACAAAATACACGTATATTAACATTTTTAAAGAATATATAATTCTAAATGTTGCATTCAATATATTCACAAAATATATGAACATTTCTAAAGAATATATAATTCAAAATGTTACATTCAATATATTTAGGGTATTTTCATCTGGGTAATATTTTCCCAGATAATAACATTTCCGAACGGTCAACGAGGTATGAAAATATCGTTACTATTTTTAGAAAACAGGACAGGTCGGTTTCACAGATAACCGTTGTTTTCATGTCGCAGGGCGTATACGGGATGTGTTGATGTAGCGCTGAAAGAAAAATTGGGAAAGAATTTCAATACTTCTACTTTTTATAACTCTTGTTTTTTTACTTATCCTATGATCCATGATCAAACTTGTACCATCTGGCGTCTGGTAAGCATTGTAATACGGTGTTTTATAAATGTATTTTTCCTTAGCAAATATTCACATGCTTGTAAAATTGTAACATTTATTTTTTATGAACTTATTATTCTTTTACAATTATTTCTAAAACATTAAAAAAAATTATATTGAATTAGTTTCTGAAGCCTAGCAGAAGACAGCACAAGTTTGAATTATATTGGGGAAGGCCTTCTGGAAGCGTGTGCAAAAGCCCATGACCGTGATTGATCACATATATTTGGAAATGTAACTATCGCAGAGTAGAGAAATATGGCGGACACCGCTTTGCCCGTTGCGTATAATTGGCTTAAGACTTTGCACGATAGCTTTAATTAAAGAATGATACCAAATGAAAACCCGGTTTTGTCACCGTTTAGTTTCATGACGTCAGACAGCGTCATTATTTCTCAATGTCAGTTCCCTCTGCCTCAATAAAATTAAAACATAAACCTTTCTTGCATGTATCACTTTACAATTTCATGAACAACTAATTTCAATGCATTGATATTGTAAATGAATTTTTAAAAAGGAAAAGATCGCTTTATTATGCAGCATAATTTGATTGTCGGAGGTCAATATCTACTTTATATGATCAATGTCACCTTCCGATGTGACTAACTTAAGACACTCTGCCTAGAAATCGACGTTTATTGTGCATCTGTTCTATGCCCCGCTCATCAGATTACAAAATGCAACATACAACCAATCTTATGTAAAAATTAAAGCATAATGTTAAAGATACAGAACATTTCTTTTGTTTGCTTTTTTGTCCAGCAATATATTTTTTTTAACTCATAACTATATAAGTTAGAGCTTTTAATTGTTTAAGATGATATTATTGAAATGTTTTTTTGTTTTGTAAAAGATTGTATTTAAGGAATGTTTTTAAGTTTTGTGTGAGTTATTGGTTCGTGAATCACACAGACTTGTCACGTAGGCATATTTCATGAAGAGCGCTAGTGTACTTGCAAGTCTGTGATTCACACACAATAATTCACACTAAACTGAAAAAAAGTCCTTATAGTTTACATTTTACATGTTTGGAAGCAACTAAATTATGCTAAATATTTGAATTTCTCGCTGTCCTATTTCGTTGCATTTTACTAACGGCGCTGCTGTCTCATTGTGAGGTCACGTTAACGCACGTTTCTCCGTGTATATTTATACACGTGAGTATACACATAAATGGTTTTCAAATCAATTTCACAGTTGGCTTACTAGAAAAACACAGCGAATGTAAATATATTCTCATATTCTTAGTCCATTATTTATGCACTGAATTGACGACCGAATTTTCCCGTCATTTCTCCATTATAACAAGGAGCATACGTCGGGTATCAGTCGGCAGGGGATGCTTACTCCTTTATAGCAAGCTGTAATAGCCACAGTTGTAGACATTAGTAGTATAAGGCGTCTAGATGGCCGGGTCAATATCTAGGACATTTTTGGGGCTGGGGGGGATAGCCGGGTCAACTGAGTGCAGCCCTTGAGGGGGATAGCCAGGTCAAGGGAGTGCAGCCCCTGTGGGGGATAGCCGGGTCAAGAGAGTGCAGATTAGGGGGGTTAGTGGGGGATAGCCGGGTCAACTCAGTACAACCCTAACCCTAACCCTAGGGGGCTAGGTGGGTTAGTTCATAGTCCCCTATATATCCTATACGGGGTGTGTTTACACTGTGTTTACATTATACTATATACGCTGCTACTACGATTCACAACGCTGCTACTACGATTTTGGCAACAAATCAAGAATGTCATTGTGACGTCACGCTTCACAGTCTAGACTGTCTAGCCTAACCAGTTGGTTCAAACTGGATTTCCTCAAAACAATAACAAACCTGGATTTTCTGAAAACAAAGAACACTAACACACAATAACAAGGGAATTTTTATTCAGAATGAAAAAAATACATTTACATTTACTTCTTCTGTGCCTTTTCAGTCATCAGGGATAGTTTTCTCTTGTGTGTAGTACTGGGGCCTGGAATCTCTCTGTTATCTTCCTTTTTCTCTTTTTTGTCTCCTACTTTCACTAAAGGTTTGGTCTGGTGGGTCCCTGAAATCTTGGGTTCTTGAGGCTTTTTCTCCAGTTTTTGTATTTCTTTCACTAACTGGTGTGTCTTCCTTCCTTGTTGGCAAATCTTTTCCATCACTTCTTTTCTAAAATCACCTATATCATTATGAATTATCTGCATGATAAAAGTCATTTGATTTAAGATACCGCCTATCATTCTCCTGTCATCTACATCTAAAAGATCCTGTGTTTCTGGTACGGTCTCCTTTGTATTTTCCTCTGCCATATTTTACCTGTGTTGAATTCAGAATGCTAACGAAGAATGATCGTCGATGTCCAGCTCTAGTTTATATACCGTTACTGTAAGGGCCGTGCGCATCAATACGTTTTACCTGCGTTTTCTATACCTGTTGCATCACCTGTAAGGACCGTGTGCAAAAAATTAGGGCCGTGTGCAAAAATATGTTGGACTTACGTTTTGATCGTACTGTGTACGATTTTGTACACAGTCTAGTCAGCGAGCTACCTATAGATGCATTATGACTTTCATACACTTGTAAAATTAAAGTTTCATTTTCACTTTTGTTTCTAAGAAGTGAACTTAGATTTTCAGAAAATGTACGTAGGACTATCTTTTGTTTTTCCTATCTTTTTCTATGATGATTTTCCTACTGTGAAGCTTTTCTTGAATAAAGCTCAATTTCTCTATGACTACTGAAGTAAACATCCTGATGCATTCTTGCCATTTGAATGTTGAGACCCTGTTCATTTTTGAAATATCCTTTCTGTCAGACCTATTTCACAGGTAAGTTTGTCTTATTTTTCTTTACATTTACTATGAAAGTCATCTTTGCATTTAACCATGATTTATATGTAAAGTTCTATTTTGAATGTAAATGCTGTATTTATCATAATTTCATGTGATTTACAGTTGTAAAACCTGCATGTAACTCAGAGTACATTTCAGTAATATTTGTATGATGGGTCTTTCTATGACTGAATTTCAATCAGAAAAATATTCACTAAATTTAGGTAAAATACATGGTATCTTTTACATTTCTGTCCCTTTTGTCTGTAAATTATTGCTTTACTTACATTGTAAAATGAGGTTAAATGTGTATCACTGAATTGTATGATTTTTTCAGGATCAGCTGAGATGTTATTTCACTGGATTATTTAATGGATAGGCTTATTAGGTATATAGTTGGATATCTCTGGTAAGTTTGTCTTGTTTTTTAATTGTTTACTTTTCCTATGAAGGTCATCTTTGCATTTAATCATAATTTATATGTAAAGTTCTATTTTGAATGTAAATGCTGTATTTATCATCATTCCATGTGATTTACAGTTGTAAAACCTGCATGTAACTCAGAGTACATTTTATATTTGTATGATGGGTCATTCTATGATTGAATTTCAATCAGAAAAATATTCACTAAATTTAGGTAAAATACATGGTATCTTTTACATTTCTGTCCCTTTTGTCTGTAAATTATTGCTTTACTTACATTGTAAAATGAGGTTAAATGTGTATCACTGAATTGTATGATTTTTTCAGGATCAGCTGAGATGTTATTTCACTGGATTATTTAATGGATAGGCTTATTGGGCATATAGTTGGATATCTCTGGTAAGTTTGTCTTGTTTTTTTAATTGTTTTCATTTCCTGTGAAGGTCATCTTTGCATTTAAGCATGATTATATGGTTAATTTAATTACTGTGCAATACTAATGTGATCTGTTGTCTCTAACTTACATTTATATAAGCACACCCTTATTTAATCTAAAATATATTAACACATGATTAAGGGATCTTCAGAATATCTGTTGTCTCTAACTTACATTTATATAAGCACACCCTTATTTAACCTTAGATATATTAACACATGATTAAGGGATCTTCAGAATATTAATAAGTCCTTTTGTATAAATCATGATATAATTTCATAATTCATTATATATGTTACCCATGGAATTCAGACTTACTAAATGGTGATCAAAGAGATATTAATTAGGAATCTAATAAGAGAAAAGAAGGAATTTACAAAAGATTAATTCTAAATCATTTACTTTTGTTTTGATTCTAAATATGTGTGATTTATGGCATTCATATAATTTCATTTTCACTTTTGTTTCTTTGTAATGAGCTTTTCAAAAAATGAAGGACTACATGATGCTAAAAAAATGTATTTTTCTGTATGCAGTACTGACAGTTATTAAACCAAAATTGAATCTTCTGTCAATGAATAGTCTTTTAGTGTCTAAATAATTAATTTGATAATCATTTTATTTGTGATATTAATACAGTAATTGTGCTTTTTTAAATTATTATCTTAAGATAACATGATGAACTTTACTCATCTGGAGTTAATGTTAAAAACAATTTTTTAGATTAAAAACAAATATTTTCATGATCTTTTTTTGACATTGTACATGTTGTATTTAAACATGCATTGTTTCATGCAGTACTCTGTCATATTAACAAAATGGTTTTATTTCTACAGTCATCAACATGGAAGATATGGTTTGTTCCTAACCATGTATAATCAATTCTCTATGAAGTTCAGACTGTCTGCTGTTCCTTTGGAAATACACAGTATAGTCAACCAACATAGAAACACACAAACTTGAAGGTAAAGATTCAATGAGATACAATTGTAATTTTTATTTATTTATTTTACATATGCATGTTTATATTTTTGAATTGATAAGTAAATGATATATGATTTTTTTAAATAAAGAGGGCTTGGTGGTCATGGTCATGTTTTGACCATATGATCTCCTTTAGAAGAAGAAGAGCTCCATATAAATATATACAAAAATGCTTGATTAAATTTTGAAACTAAAATGAATATATTTTTTTGGCCAAATAATAGTTAACAGCTGAAGATAGCATATCTATAGAATAAATTAAATATGTCTAATTTGTTAACCCCCAGCTTCCTTAATAGCATAGTTGGTAAAGAGAGCAAGTTTTGACTCCAATTGCTTATGAATTCTCAATTTTTCATTTAATATTAACATTATATCACAGGGAAAGAATACTATAATGTGACTCATCAGAATGACCAGAAAAGAAATTTTAATGACCCTCTTGACTATGTATAAAGACTGTAACCTTATAACTGATGTAAGAAGATCTGATTGTGTGGAATTAAAATTTCCTGGTGTTTCTACTACCCAAGATCTTCTTATGAGTGCATGGGACTGCTGTGAACCTTCTCCTGTTTATAAAAATATACCTTGGAGCATGACAGATTATTCATAAAAGGTACTTTCAATATCATTTCTATGAGTTTGTGTTCTTTCTTTTTAATAATCTAGTAATGAATTCAAGTGTTATATCTCCATTAAATTCATTAATATGTATGCTTCCAAAATCTTAGATCTGTCTGTATAGTTTTTTCAGCTCTTTGAACACAAATACCCTGATTCAATCTTTTGAGGGAAACATAATAGAGACATCATAGGTGATTATCAGAGTGTATATATAACAATCTTAACCATAAGGTCAATTTAAATGGTCTAAGGCATAACAAATGAAAGTGAAAACTTTTTTTTTATTATAATACATAATTTTGTAATAAACAAACACTGGAAAGTTACTCTCATGATGAGCCTTAATGTCTTCCAAGAGTTTAGTTTGGACTTCCTCCATTAATCCTTGTGTCTTCTCCAATGGTTTTGTGGGCTTAAAATCATGTGTCTTTAACAACATTTTTTTTTCTGACAACTGTTTTCCCTTATCATCTTTAAACTTGACTTCTTCTCTAGTCAAAGGTCTTTCAGGGTAATCCAAGTAATTCTTAACCTCTTTTGGTAATAAATGGTTATATTCTTCATTGGCTTCTTCTTCAATCAAGGGTCTTTCTATGTAATCTCTGACAACATTAGGATCACCCTTTTCTAAACATAATTGGTTATATTCTTCTTGAGAAATGATCTCAATAGTGCCATCTTCTTTTATTCTAACTGGTATACCTCTGTCTTCATCTTTCTCTAAAAGAACTCTCTCTCCAAAACTGAATTTTACTCATTCCTTTACTCTTTTCTTTACTGGAGGTGTTACCCATGGTTAATATGGAAAGTCAAATTCTGATGTTACACCTTGTATTTATACCCTTTTTGTCTATATTTAGAATTCCATCAAGCTTATATTATATAACCATTTTTTTTTCAACTAAGACATTATTTTTTCTATTTTCCAGGATTCTCTAGTGAGGGCTTATGGAAATGATTTATGTCTACTCTTAGAATGGTGAAAGACTATCAGATTATGCAAAGATTAACAGAATATCCTCTCTTGGAACACTGAAACAAGAAAACCAAACAGGATGGAGGATTTAAGAAGAACATAAATAAATATGATTTCCAACCAATTTAACCAGTACAATCATAGAATGTGGTTTACAGGATGACAAAGAAAGGAGCCAGAATTGTATCTTTCACTGTCAGACACTGACTATGGATAAAGTGTAATCATTTATCAAACTGAGATCTAGTCATATAAAGTATTGAAAATATGATTTTCAGATAGCATGAGCTCTTTAAAAACTAATTCTCACAGACCTCAAAGTATCTAAATGTGACTTTTATTTTTACCAATTCATATTGAAGACTGTTGTTATGTATGGGAATTACACATTTAAACCTTTTACTTTTCATTTTATTTTTACAACCCCCTAGAAATTACACAGATATCTAGATACTGGATTTGATGTAATTATTTAACTTTCCTGGAATTGTAAATATATTTTGTTTATGTATGTATCATGTTTAATTTTGAATTTAAATTGGGTCTCAATAAGACCCCCAATAAAGATGCAAGTGTCCCATAATCTGTGATTTAATAATATCCTGAATATCTTTATCATACCATATTGTACATACTTATTACATATAGAATGGTTGTAGGAATACACTTTGTTGTTTAGGACACTTTGTCAAGGTCAAAGCATAAGATTATTGAGATGACTTCTTTGACAATAATTTGTAACTTACAAACTTCACATCATAAGTAGACAGATAAAGAATCAATAAGATATTTCTATAGATTTTTTGGATCATTTACTCCTGGGTAAAAATTAGTTACTGAGATTACTGATTTGAGTCCTGTAATGCAATAACTTACACATTGTATAATAACTTATAGACTTTATAACAATTAGGTGCAAATTCTTAGGAAAGGATTGAAATGTTAATCAAATGAACAATGTTCAAGGGTGTTTATATGACTATTGCTATGTAACACCTAGGGTCTCTGTAAAAATCCTATATTCACTACATAGATAAAGACTGGTATAATATATATTTTAAACTATTATGAAGGAAAAAAAGTCAAAAACTCTCCCCTTCATATCTTTCATATTCTGTCATACACAACAATAGATAAATTGCAGTCATTTAACAAACTGAGGTCTAATCAAATCCTAGAATTGATATTGTGATTTTCTGATAGTATGAGATCTTCAAAAAAAAAAAATAATAATAATTCCCAGACTTCAAAGTATCTAAATGTGACTTTTATTTTTACCAATTCATGTTGAAGACAGTTGTTATGTATGAGAAGTATACATTTAAACCTTTTATTTTTCATCTTATTTCTGCAACCCCTAACAAATTACACAGATGTTTAAAAGCTAGCTTTGGTGTAATAATTACTTTCCTGGAACTGTAAATACATTTTGCTTGTGTATGTGTGTGTGTCCTATTTTGAATTTAATAGGTCTCAATAGGACCCCCATAAAGATGTTAGTGTCCCCTGAACTGTGATGTAATAATATCTTGAATATTTCTATCAACCATTAGACTTCATGCTTACTACACAGAACAGGTTAGAGTAATACACTTAGTTTTATAGGACACTTTGTCAGGGTTAAAGCATGAGATTATTGAGTTTACTACCTTTGACAATAATTTGTAATCTGCAAAATTCACATCATAAGTATAGAAAGATTCGGAGATTTTCTATAGATCTTTGGATCATTTTTTCTCCTGGGTAAAATGTAGTTGTTGTAACTTTAACATTTTGTGAAACCTAGAGACTTTATATCAGCTCTATTGGGTGGCATAGCATACTCTTTGGAAAGAATTGAAATGTAAATCATATGCACTATGTTCAAGGATGTTTAAAGACTATTACTATGTAATACCTTAGAATTCTGTAAAAATTTTATTATCACTGCGAAGATAAAGACTGGTTGGAATAATTTATGTTTTGAAATAAGGTTTAGGGAAAAAAGTCAAGAATGTGGATATGACTTTAATTCAAATGGTGCAGTACAGCAACTCTGGTGATTTACATACCTTCAGTCATAAATACATGTAGATATGTATTGGGAAGACTCCTCTAGATTTTGAAATTTTTAATTCAAAAGTATAGAATTTTTTTTAAGTTTGAAAGATTAAATGGCAGCATATCATATGCTTGTGAATTAAAAATAAATCCAAACATATACATCTTTGGATGATAATTGTAGAATTTTATCAATTCCTGGACTTCTGTCTTGATATCATCCTTTAATGCCCTTAAAATTTTAATGACTGTCTTTTAGTTTTAGTTGAATTAGTTTGTTTTCTACATGTGAAAATGACATCATCCAAAGAAGTAGTTCATCTGCATGTTATATGAAGAAGACAATTTTTCATCACAGTGAAAGAGATTGTTTTGTTAAATATAATGCATTGATGCACAAATATACTTTTAGATTTTTAATAGCTAGGGTTCATATTTCTTAATATGGAATGCTATGTACTGTTGATTTCATTTTTTTTTCTGAAAAAAGACATACTAGTAGAAAAAAAATATACATGGTGTGTTAGAAAAGCATGTGTAAACCTGATGACTTTATAATTGCTGATTAAATCAATTATGAGTTTCATCTTTGTTACATTGTAAACATTTCTAAGTAGGGCACACATCAGAAACTCTTTAAATTCTGAGTATCAGGGTTTAACACAACAATTCCAAATGATTTTGGGACGCTTTTTATGTATCAAAAAAAGACAAAACAGAATGTTTGTTCACAGATGTTCCAGTGGAAAACAATCACAAAGAAATGATTTGATATGTTCTTTATGTGATTCATGTAAAATGTTTTTTTTTTTTTTTTTAAATTGTACCCTAACATTTATCTTTTGCATAAATACATGTTTTGTTGAGAATATCTCATAACTTTGAAAAAAGTAGTCTTATTGTATAATATGGTAAACTTAAAATTTTGTAGACTTAAAAGTTGTACATTATGTGTTACACATCTTACATGTAACCATTTCATTTCAGGGCATTCAGCATATATTGTGGTTTTGTCTTAAATTTGTTTGTTCATGTAATCAATAATTTGAGAATACTCAAGTTAGGTAATGCATGAGAGAATAGGCAAGAAAATCAGGTTTAAGAAATGGTTTTTACTATTTATAAGGGTTTAATCTGTATATTGAATCTATAAGTACATTTAGTCTATACAATTAAGGTATTTGTATATGAAATAAACTTGCATTTGAGCATTTTAAGACAATTGTAAACATTACTTTAACTAGTTTTAAAAAATGATTAGATTCACTGTCAGCATGTTATTTCTTGTAAAATAAATGAGAAAACAAACAATTTAATTTGAGTCAGTTTTTTAATGTAAATAAGAAGCATTGGAAGTTGGGAATATTTCACAAAGTTGATTGAGCATAATTCTCACTAGGACAGTGGGAGTATTATGATTTAAGCATTAAAGAAACCATTTCATATTTCAATATACAAACCATGTTTAGTCATGCAGTATATAGTTTACACTTGCCAAAAAGTAAATGGTATCTCTATTCAGGGTCAATCCAAAGGTAAAAAAGGAATGAGAAAAAAAAAATTTCTCTTTATGTATCAAACATGTAGGTATTATTGCAATGAATTCACTGTATTTATTTTTTTTTGTCCTCTTTCTATGTATGAATAGCTCTGATTTAGGCAATCAAAATACAAAAAGCAAATGAGTTATGTCAAATGATGAAGGTATACACCAGAAATTAACATGGACAGAGAATTTTGAGTTTCCCTCAAATATGGCCGCCAAGTGATGTGAAATAAAAACAAAATGTGGATTCATCTATTAAGATTGAGACTTGTACATATTATGAATGATGGGTACAGTATGACATTAAGAATGACATGAAAGAAATAAGTTTGATTCAATTATATAAACAGTTTTTAATCCATACAGTCAAAAATGGAGGGCATATATTTTTCTTTATAGGCATAAAGTAACAAACATTCACCTAATTCATCAAAATTTTACTTTTTGAAGAAAAGGAACCCTACTTACTTTGTTGAGTTGACATTCATATTTTTGTGTTTGACAGGTAGACTAATGGTTTCTGACTGGTATAATGAGAACTTTTTATTTAAGAGTCATCAGATTTTTCTGATATTTTAGTTTAAGATACCTGCATGACATCAATTAATTTGTTCATACAAAGGGATAAAAGCTTTTCCAGGTTTCCTCTTTACTCAGATTAGATTGTGTCTTGCTAATATATCCAACATATAAGTTACTCATCAAAGTCAAACAAAGGTAAATAAATGACCTTATTAAGTTTTTAGTCAAAAGGTCAAAGAGATGTGGACATCTGCTTAATTTAATTGTTTAGTTAATATTCATCAAACTTCATGGATAGGTTAATTAAACAAACTTCATATATTTTGATTTTCAGATCAAAGATCATCACACTTTTTGCTATACCATTGTTGTCTATGAATATCTTAACACCTCTATTGACTTTTCAGGTTAAAGGTCAATGTATTCCTGCAACAGTAAAACTTCATTATAAGTGATATTTATACCCGCACTTTCTAAAGAAAGTTCGGGTATATTGTTGTTACTCATGTCCGTCCGTCCGTCCGTCCGTCCGTCCGTCTGTCACACTTTTCTTCCCTGAACTCCTCCTACATTTTACACAGTAGCTTAATCATCTTTTGGGAGATGGTTTGTGGGGTCATGTAGATGTGCAGTAAGGTTTTGGAATTTCAATTTTGCCCCGGGGGGTCAAATGGGGGTCGAAAAATGACGTTTTTTGTCCAAAAAGCCCCGTCTTCCCTGAACTCCTTCTACATTTTACTCAGTAGCCTAAACAGCTTTTGGGAGATGGTTGGTGGGGTCATGTAGATGTGCAGTAAGCTTTCGGAATTTTGATTTTGCCCCTGGGGGTCAAATGGGGGTCGAAAAATGACGTTTTTTGTCCAAAAAGCTCCGTCTTCCCTGAACTCCTTCTACATTTTACTCAGTAGCCTAACCAGCTTTTGGGAGATGGTTGGTGGGGTCATGTAGATGTGCAGTAAGCTTTCGGAATTTTGATTTTGCCCCAGGGGGTCAAATGGGGGTCGAAAAATGACGTTTTTTAAGCAAAAAGCTCCGTCTTCCCTGAACTCCTCTTACATTTTACTCAGTAGCCTAACCAGCTGTTGGGAGATGGTTGGTGGGGTCATGTAGATGTGCAGTAAGCTTTCGGAATTTTGATTTTGCACCAGGGGGTCAAATGGGGGTCGAAAAATGACGTTTTTTTGTCCAAAAAGCCCCGTCTTCCCTGAACTCCTTCTACATTTTACTCAGTAGCCTAACCAGCTTTTGGGAGATGGTTGGTGGGGTCATGTAGATGTGCAGTAAGCTTTCGGAATTTTGATTTTGCCCCAGGGGGTCAAATGGGGGTCGAAAAATGACGTTTTTTAGCCAAAAAGCTCCGTCTTTCCTGAACTCTTCTTACATTTTACTCAGTAGCCTAATCATCTTTTGAGAGATGGTTTGTGGGGTCATGTAGATGTGCAGTAATGTTTTGGAATTTCGATTTTGCCCCGGGGGGTCAAATGGGGGTCGAAAAATGACGTTTTTTGTCCAAAAAGCCCCGTCTTCCTTGAACTCCTTCTACATTTTACTCAGTAGCCTAACCAGCTTTTGGGAGATGGTTGGTGGGGTCATGTAGATGTGCAGTAAGCTTTCGGAATTTTGATTTTGCCCCAGGGGGTCAAATGGGGGTCGAAAAATGAGGTTTTTTAAGCAAAAAGCTCTGTCTTCCCTGAACTCCTCTTACATTTTACTCAGTAGCCTAATCATCTTTTGGGAGATGGTTGGTGGGGTCATGTAGATGTGCAGTAAGGTTTTGGAATTTCGATTTTGCCCCGGGGGGTCAAATGGGGGTCGAAAAATGACGTTTTTTGTCCAAAAAGCCCCGTCTTCCCTAAACTCCTTCTACATTTTACTCAGTAGCCTAACCAGCTTTTGGGAGATGGTTGGTGGGGTCATGTAGATGTGCAGTAAGGTTTTGAAATTTCGATTTTGCCCCGGGGGGTCAAATGGGGGTCGAAAAATGACGTTTTTTGTCCAAAAGCCCCGTCTTCCTTGAACTCCTTCTACATTTTACTCAGTAGCCTAACCAGCTTTTGGGAGATTGTTGGTGGGGTCATGTAGATGTGCAGTAAGCTTTCGGAATTTTGATTTTGCCCCAGGGGTTCAAATGGGGGTCGAAAAATGACGTTTTTTAAGAAAAAAGCTCTGTCTTCCCTGAACTCCTCTTTCATTTTACTCAGTAGCCTAATCATCTTTTGGGAGATGGTTGGTGGGGTCATGTAGATGTGCAGTAATGTTTTGGAATTTCGATTTTGCCCCGGGGGGTCAAATGGGGGTCGAAAAATGACGTTTTTTGTCCAAAAAGCCCCGTCTTCCCTGAACTCCTTCTACATTTTACTCAGTAGCCTAACCAGCTTTTGGGAGATGGTTGGTGGGGTCATGTAGATGTGCAGTAAGCTTTCGGAATTTTGATTTTGCCCCAGGGGGTCAAATGAGGGTCGAAAAATGAGGTTTTTTAAGCAAAAAGCTCTGTCTTCCCTGAACTCCTCTTACATTTTACTCAGTAGCCTAATCATCTTTTGGGAGATGGTTGGTGGGGTCATGTAGATGTGCAGTAAGGTTTTGGAATTTCGATTTTGCCCCGGGGGGTCAAATGGGGGTCGAAAAATGACGTTCTTTGTCCAAAAAGCCCCGTCTTCCCTAAACTCCTTCTACATTTTACTCAGTAGCCTAACCAGCTTTTGGGAGATGGTTGGTGGAGTCATGCAGATGTGCAGTTAGGTTTCGGAGTTTTGATTTTGCCCAGGGGGGTCAAATAAGGGTCGAAAAATGATGTTTTTTATGGAAAAAGCCCCATCTTCCCTGAACTCCTCTTACATTTTATTCAGCACTCCTTTTTTTGTTTTGAACAGTGGTCTTATCATCTTTTGGGAGAGTTCACTCTTTTGAAATTTTGTTAAAACATCAAGGTCAAGGGGTAAAAAATCATAGCATGTTGGGAGCCTCTTGTTATGGGTAATGTTCACTTGAAATGTGAAAGTCAAATCTCTTCTCAATGAAAAGGAAATACAACATTAATAAAAACTAAGTTAAACTTCAAGGTCAAGGTCACAGAGTCAAAAAGTCATGATACATTTTGGAAGGTCTTATCACAGGTAATATGAATGCCCTTTCATTTATCTTTCAAAATGATCAATTCAAAGCAATTAATTTTTTTAAGGAAATTAGGTCAAACTTCAAGATCATGGGTAATGAAAATCATAGTGTGTGTAGAATGGTATTGTCCCATTTAATACTAATACACATGTTTAATATAAAAGTCCTATCTCTTCTCATTCAAAATATACGACCATGATGACCAAGGTTAAATTTATTGTGACAGATGGGCAGATTGACAAACAAATGAGATTTAATGTACCCTACCTTTAGCAAAAATGGGGACAATAAATGTCTTTGCTGTTTTTGAGAAGAAGATTTATGTTGGAACAAGATGTGTTTGTGAAACACTACGCGCCCGGCGGCAACAAAGTTAAAAAAATCTTCTTTTAGCATATTGATCACAGTCAAGGTCACAAGGTCATTGACCATGGTGTCATTCAAAAGAACTTAATCAGTGGAGTATGCCTACTAAATATGAAGTCCCTATCTCCTATGGTTCAAAAGTTGTGGCAAAAAGTGTAAAGAGCTATTTTTAGCATATCCGTCACAGTCAAGGTCACAAGATCATTGACCTTGCCATCGTTTGAAAGGACTTTATTGGTGGAGTATGCATACCAAATATGAAGTCCCTATCTCCTTTGGTTGAAAAGTTATGACAAACAGTGGAAAAATCTATTTTTAGAATATAGGTCACAGTCAAGGTCACAAAGTCATTGATCATGGTGTCATTTGAAAGAACTTAATCGGTGGAGTATGCATACCAAATATGAAGTCCTTCTCTCTGATGGTTCAAAAGTTATGGCAAAAAGTGTAAAAAGCTATTTTTAGAATATAGGTCACAGTCAAGGTCACAAAGTCATTGACCGTGGTGTCATTTGAAAGAACTTAATTGGTGGAGTATGCATACCAAATATGAAGTCCTTATCTCTGATGGTTCAAAAGTTATGGCAAAAAGTGTAAAAAGCTATTTTTAGCATATAGGTCACAGTCAAGGTCACAAGATCATTGACCTTGATGTCATTTGAAAGGACTCTATTAGTGGAGTATGCATACCAAATATGAAGTCCTTATCTCCTATGGTTCAAAAGTTATGACAAACAGTGGAAAAAGCTTTTTTTAGCATATAAG